AAGGGTAAAGAACATATCCCTCCCTTTAAAGACATTTCCCAGAAAGCACACAAAACACTTCCATTTATATTAATCGGGTCAGAACTTGGTCATATGGCCACAGTGAGCTTGTTCTGCAGATAAGGGAGAATGTAAATATTTGTTTAGTTACTGACAGTACCACTAACTCAAAATTCCCTGTGCCAATAAAACTACCCTTTATTGGGATTTGATCCACAGCCCACAGCATACTGTAATTCTTACAACAGTCCTGCAGGGAAGATTTTACGACCAGAATTTTAGAGAAGTGGAAATCGAGGCTGTCGGGGTAGAGGGGGTGAGGTAACTTGTCTTTTGTCCTGCAAAGAGCAGCTGGTGTAGCTGGCATTTGAGTCCAGGTCTGCCTGTGAGTTTCTGTAGGTTACACTCTTTTTAAAGATGTGAGAAAAATAATTAAATAGGATCAATGAGACTACTGGAATGCAAGATGCTGGAGAAAGAGATATGTGCGTTTATAACAACAGCAAATGCCACTTGTGTTCTGAACTTGGCAGTTAAATTCATTTTAAAGGTGGTCTGGAGATTGTAAAGCTTGATCACTGAGCATTTTGTTTTGCTTGGAGAGGTCACAAGCCACGTTTTGGTTAGTAAGGGGAAATGGGCTGTTTTCAGACATTTGACTGAAGCATCCTGGAGATATAAATTTAGCTTTAGGTTTCAGTAATAATAAGATTTTTTTTTAAAGAAATGTAAGTTGGAGCTGGTAGCAGATGTTCCTATTCTATAAGTTTGCTTTAAAACAATATGAAAACAGGTGACATCCTTTACAGGTTGAAGGGTTTATTTTTTGTATTGTCGACTGAAAAAATACGCGCAACCTAAAAGTTACGGGTTTTTTTTTTTTACCATCTTTATTGGAGTATAATTGCTTTACAATGGTGTGTTAGTTTCTTCTGTATCACAAAGTGAATCAGCTATACATATACATATATCCCCATATCTCCTCCCTCTTGCGTCTCCCTCCCACCCTCTCTATCCCACCCCTCTAGGTGGTCACAAAACACCCAGCTGATCTCCCTGTGCTATGCGGCTGCTTCCTACTAGCTATCTATTTGACATTTGGTAGTATATGTAAGTAAATGCTGAGTTATGTTTTATTAGGCGGGAATTTTTAGGACCTCAAGCCCGGGAGGCAGCATCTCAAGTAACCCTGAGAAAACTGCTCCAAGGAGGCGAGGGGGCGGGTTTTGCAACAAAGGGCAGATAGTCGGGAACATCAAAAGATTATTGTAATTAAAAAAAACCAGATACCCCAGGTTAAGGAATTAAGCCCATTTCTATGTATGGGAAGATGCAAGAGTCTGGGCTCACTGAAATCATTCCTTTGATATGTACCTCAACTATCTGGGGCCAGTGTCCTGTGTTTTTTAGGGAGTGGCTGCGGTCTGATGGCTGCTAGTTGGCAGGTATTCTTTCCTTCCTGAGTTGCCTCAGGGCTCACCAGCTTACCTTCTGGTGGTGGCTACAATCCCTGGTGACTGTGACAGCCTCTGTTTACTGATATGGCAGGAAATAATCCATTTCTCAGTATCAAAATAAAGAATGACTTTTCAGAACCGTAAAAAAAAAAAAAAAAGGTAATGTTAGTTTATCATGCTGATGGTAAGAACAATTGCCCCCAATGCGCTCCTGCATAGTGGATCTTCCTTAGAGCAGTGCCCAGGCGATCGGATCCTGGCCTCAGTTTACAAAGCGAAAGTAGAGGCTGACGCGAATCCTGTGCCCCTGCCGGCCGGCGCGCTCGGAGGCGGGGACTGCCTGCCCACTGCCCGCCGCTCCCACTCCCCGCGCGCGCGCGCAGCCGGTGGAGGTGTGGCTGGGCAAGGCGCTGGCGGTAACTTTCCTTCTCTGTGAACGGAGCAACCAAAACGACTTCTCGCAGAATTGCAGAAGGTGCAAATGCGCCATTAACTAATTCTGCGTAAAGTTCCAGTCACCGCGCAAGAGATGTTCCGTCCACCCACTCCTTAGGAGCTGCCCACTCCTAAAAGGAAGAAAACTAAGAGGAAGTTCGAGGATGCAGGTTCCAGGAGGCTGTGGCCGTGGCGCAGAGGGCGGGCGTCCCCACGTGGTGGGGCTCCGTGCTGTGCTCCCGGTTCTGGTGCTGGTTCTGGGGCGCACGCTGCTCACCGCAGGTAGGGCAGGAGGGAAAGAAGGAAGGAGGCAGGGAGGGAGGAGGGGTGGCTTTCGCTACGCAGTGAGGTCCGAGTCCGGCTGGGGCTAAATATCTTAAAAAGCCTCAACCAACCCTGAACTCTCTACTGTGAAATGCGGATTCATTTACTGATTCAACAGTTGTATACTGACTATGTGCAGAGTCGGCACTTGTAGGAGCCTGTGAGCACGCGCTCTGATGTTCTGTAAACCTCTGCCTCTCTTGCATCATGCCAGTTGCTGGAACGGAGAGGCGTGAAATAGGAAATTTACTCTGGGACTTCCCTGGTGGTCCAGTGGTTGAGACTCCAAGCTTCCACTGCAGGGGGCACGGGTTCAATCCCTGGTTGGGGAACTAAGATCCCGCATGCATGCTGCCAAAACAACAAGTTTATTTCCCACAGTTCTGGAAGCTGGGAAGTCCCTGATCAAGGTGCTGACTGATTTGGTTCCTGGTGAGGGACCCCTTACCGGCTTGTAGGTGAACACTTTCTTACTATATCCTCAGGTTTGGAGAGATATCTCATATTTCTCATGTCTCTTATTTTTTGTTTATTTATTTTTTGGCTGCGTGGCATGTGGGATCTTAATTCCCCGATCAGGGACCAAACCCATGTCCCCTGCAATGGAAGCACAGAGTCTAAACCACTGGACTGCCAGGAAACTCCCTCTCATGTCTCTTCTAAGTGCACTAATCTGATTCATGAGGGCTCACCCAAAGGCCCCTCCTCCAAATACCATCACACTGGGGATTAGGCCACAGCATATGAATCTGGTGGGGACACAAACAGTCAGTCCATAACACATCCCCCAAACACATTTGTGGATTAGAAGCAACATTGCTAAGATGGCAATACTTGCCAAATTGATCTACAGATTCAGTTCAATTCCTATTAGAAACTTAGCTGACTTCTTTGTAGAAATTGATAAACTGTTTCTCAAATTCCTCTGAAATTGCAAGGCACCCAGCATAGCCAAAACAATCTTGGGAAAAAAGAAAAAAAAAAAAAAAAAGAACAAAGTTGAAGGAGTTTATGTGGACTAATGAGGGGCCATGAACTAAGGGCCTTTGTATCTGAAGACCCCTCCCCCCACCCCCACAAAAAGAGAAGTTGTTTCCAATTATATGGCAATGTTTTAGAGCCCCAGGCCTATGTTTCTTCCAGGGGTCTTCCATAACAGAGTTCTCATATTGCCCCAGGTTTTCTGGAAGTGGAGATGGCAGGGAAGACTCAGATGGTTTTCCTGAATGAAAATGCGACTATCTTTTGCAAGATCCCTGGTTTCCCACACCTGGACATCAACAGTATGGGTATCACCTGGTTTTGGAAGGCTCAGTTGTCTGAAATAGAGATCAAACTGTTTGAATTTTTTGGAGACCACAAAGTGGCATTCCGACCTGGAGCCAACGTGTCTCCATGGAGGCTGAAGAGGGGGGATGCCTCACTGCAGCTGCCTGGGGTCCAACTGTGGGAAGCAGGAGAGTACCGATGTGAGTTGGTGGTCACTCCTCAGAAGGCACAGGGGAGAGTCTGGCTGGAGGTTGTAGGTGAGTGCCTGAGGGCAGTGCCCTATGATTCCCATGGTGATGGGGCTTGGGGTGGAGATGTAGATGGGTCAAGTGGAGCAGAGCACGGGCCTAGGAGTCACATAGACGTGGGTTTGAGCCCTGGGCTTCCATGGACTTCTAGACAACTTTGGACAAGTTATTAATCACGCAGAATCTCAATGCCCTTCCCTCTAAACAAATGTAACAGTACTTTTCTAAGAGGATTGATTGTAGGGAAGAGGCTATGAAAAATGCAAGGAAGATGCTTAGAATAGTGTTTGGCCCATTTTAAGTTCGCAGTAAAAGATAGTCAATGTAATTAATTTCCCTGGTGTGTGGACGGTTGGTCTTCACTGAAGAGGTACCTCTGAAAGGTAGGTGGGGAAGGAGAGAGATTGCACTCTGGTTCCATGGATCTGAATCGTATTCTATCTAACTTTGTTGCTTCCAAACTGAGTGATTGGGTCACAGCCATTTAACATCTTTACACGTGGATTTTCCCACGTGCAAATGAATTTTCCCTCATTTTCCATGTACAAAATGAGGTGATAAGTCATACCTGCCTCATAGTGTTCTGAGGATTACACAAGATCATGTATGAAAATGCTCAGCCAGTGCTGTTGTCAGGTAGGTGCTCAGTCAAGATTTATAACAACACTTTTCCCTAAACACGTTTTTGAGCTCCACTTTCTTCTATTATAAATAGGTCAGATACTCTGTGGATGAGCTTGGGGCTGCCATAACAAAACACCACTGACTGGGTGGCTTAAACAACAGAAATTTATTTTCTCACAATTCTGGAGTCTAGAAGTCTGAGATCAAGGTGACAGCAGGGTTGGTTTCTTCAGAGGCCTCTCTCCTTGGCTTGTAGGTGCTTGTCTTCTCCCTGTGTCTTCACCCCCTCTTCCCTCTGTGTTTGTGTATCCTAATCTCCTCTTCTTATAAAGACATCAGTCATATTAGATTAGGATTCAACCTAATGATCTCATTTAACTTACCAACCTCAATAAAAACCCTACCTTCAAATATAGTCACAGTCTGAGGGACTAGGACTAGGGATTAGGACTTCAACATATGAATTTGGAGGGGGCATACAATTCAGCCTGTAACTGAGGGGCAGTGTCTGTGAGCCTTCCATAACTGTACTTAAGACTTTGAATGTTTTGTACATATTAATTTTGGTAATGGGGATGTATATTAGAATTTGTTTCCTCTGCAACTGACAGAAAGCCTAAAATAAAAGGTTTTTTTTTTCCAAAAATTAGATACACTTTATTTTTTAGAAGAGTTCTAGATTTACAGAGAAATTGGAAAGTTAGTACCGAATTCCCATATTACTCTTACCTCCGCACCCCATGTGCCCCATTAGTATCATCTTGTATTTATGGTATATTTGTTATAATTGATGAACCAATATTGACACATTATTATTCATTAAAGTCCATAGTTTATTCAGATTTCCTTAGTTTTTTTTCCCCTGATAATTTTCCTTGTTCTGAAGGCTACTTTGAAATTCATATAGCTACTCAAGTTCTCTTTGGGTTAGTATTAGTATGGCTTATCTTTCTCAATCCTTTTACTTTTAATCTATTTGGGTCCTCATATTTAAAGTGGGTTTCTTGTAGAAAGCACATGTTTGAGTCTTTTTTTAATCCACTCTGGCAGTCTCTGTCTTTTAGTTGATGTAGTTAGACCATTCATTTAAAGTGATTGTGTATATAGTTGGACTGATAAGTATTGTGTTTGTATCTGTTTTCTATTTGGTGCCCTTTGTTTTTAAAATTTTTTAAATTTAATTTTCTGCCTCTTTTTCTGCCTTCTCTGTTTTTTTTTTTTTTTTTCGGTACGCGGGCCTCTCACTGCTGTGGCCTCTCCCGTTGCGGAGCACAGGCTCCGGACACGCAGGCTCAGCGGCCATGGCTCACGGGCGCAGCCGCTCCGCAGCATGTGGGATCTTCCCGGATTGGGGCACGAACCCATGTCCCCTGCATCGGCAGGCGGACTCTCAACCACTGCGCCACCAGGGAAGCCCCCCTTCTCTGGTTTTAATTGAATATTTGATATGATATCATTTTCTCTCTTTTCTCTGTATATCAATTATACTTATTTAAAATTTATTTTAATGGTTGTCCTAGAGTTTGCAGTGTACATTTACAACTAATTTAAGTCTGCTTTCAAATAACACTGTATTGCTCCATGGGTAGTACAGGTACTTAATAACAGAGTATTTCCAGTTCTTCTCTCCCATCTCTTATAACATTACTGTCATTCATTTAACTTTTTCATATGCTATAACCACCCAGTACATTGTTGCTATTATTATTTTGAATGAACACAATGATCTGTTAGATCAGTTAAGCATAAGAAAAATAAATGTTTTGTTTTGTCTTCATTTATTCCTTCTCTGACACTCTTCCTTTCTTTTTGTAGAGTCTAGTTTCTGACCTATACCATTCTCCGTCTCTCTGAAGAACTTCTTTTTAACATGTAGCAAAGCAGGTCTACTGGTGACAGATTTCCTCAGTTTTTGTCTGTCTGAGAAAGTATACTTCATTTTTGAAGAGTAATTCTTCTGGATATAGGAGTCTAGATTGGTGGGGTTTTCTTTCTTCGAATACTTTAAATATTTCACTCCACTCTCTTCTTTCTTGCATTTAAGAAGTCCCATGTCATCCTTATCCTTGTTCCTCTATAGGTAAGTTAGTTTTTTCCTCTGGCTTCTTTCAAGATTTTCTCTTTGTTTTTTTGCATTTTGAATATGGTATACCTAGGTGTAGATTTTTTTTTTCTTTTTTTGGTATTTTTCTGCTCGGTGTTGTCTGAGCTTCCTGGATCTGTGCTTTGGTGTCTGTCATTAATTTTGGAAAATTCTCAGCCATTATTTTTCAAAATGTTTCTTCTGCTCCTTTCTCTTTTCTTCTTCTGGTATTCCTGTTACATATGTTACCTTTTGCTGTCATCTCACAGTTCTTGGATATTCTTTCTGTTCCCTTCTGGTTTCTTCCCCATTCTTTTTTCTCTTTGCATTTCAGTTTGGGAAGTTTCTATTGACATTTTTAAGCTAGCTGATTCTTTCCTTGGCACTGTGAAGTTTACTGATGAGCCCATCAGAGGCATTCTTCATTTCTTTTATAATGTTTTTGATTTCTAGCATTTCCTTTTGATTCTTTCTTAAAGTTTCCATCTCTCTATTTACATTATCCATTTGTTCTTGCATATTGTCTGCTTTTTCCATTAGTGCTTTTAGCATTTTAATCATTATTTAGAATTCTCCATCTGATAATTCTAAAATCTGTGTCATACTAGAGTCTGGTTCTGAGGCTTGCTTTGTCTTTTCATACTTTTCAGCACGCCTTGTAATTTTTTGTTGAAAACCAGATATCTTGTATCAGGTAGTAAGAACTGAGGTGAATAGGCTTTTGGTGTGAGAGTCTATGTTGCTTTGGCTAGGCGTTAGGCTGTGTTTAGTGTTAATGCTGTACCTGTAGGTGCCAGAGTTTTCCCCCTTCCTTGTTTTGTTTGAATTTCCCTATGAACACCTTAAACAGAGCCTGTGTTTAACAGCTCTCTCAGTTGTAATCTGTTATCATTCTGGAACTCTGTTGATATAGTGGTAAGGTGTTGTGGAGGAGAAGCAGTCTATGCTCTTATGGTTAAATCTCATTCTTTTGAGTTGCCTGAGCCCCTAGGTTGTCTCACCTTCAGAAGTGTTTCTAGGTGAGGCGGGAAGGCTAGAGGGGGCTGGAGTTGGCTAATCATCACTATCCCAAGTCAGGCAAGACTCTGGCAAAGTCTTTTCCCTTGAGAGCATCCTTTATTATGGAGAATGCACTGGGTATATTTTTAAATAGTTACTTTTCCTCTCCCCATTGCTCAACATAGGAGGGAATTTTTCTTGGATCTTCACAGTGAGAGTGTGGTGGGATTCTGGGAGGTAAAACTCATGAAAGTGTTGTGACCCCGCCTAAGACTGGGCCTTGAGGAGTTTTTTATTCTCAATCTAGTCCACACTTATCCTTTAGCAATTTGTCAGAGTTACTGCTCAAGTGTGTCGACCAGTTTATTACTCCAGTACCTTCTGCTTAAGGTTTTATGATCTCGGCTGTGATTCTCTCAATCTGCCTGTCTTTTCTCAGGGTGGTGGTTTGCCCTGTCACCTCAGTTCTCTGATGGATCTAAGAAAAGCTGTGGATTTACAGTTTGTTCAGCTCAGCTTTTTTTTTCCTGTTATGAGGATAGAAGTGATGACTTTAGGTCTTTACATGTCAGAGGGAAGCCAGAAGTCAATAGTGCTTTTAAGAAGGTAGTTTATTTTCCTTTCACAAAAATGTAGCCAGGGGCTTCCCAGGTGGCGCAGTGGTTGAGAGTCCGCCTGCCGATGCGGGGGACACGGGTTCGTGCCCCGGTCCGGGAAGATCCCACACGCCGCAGAGCGGCTGGGCCCGTGAGCCATGGCCGCTGAGCCTGCGCGTCCGGAGCCTGTGCTCCGCAATGTGAGAGGCCACAACAGTGAGAGGCCTGCATACAGCAAAACAAAAAAAAATGTAGCCAAACCAGGGCATGTATGGCAGTTCTGTGATCATCTAGGACCCAGGATCCTTTTATGTCATCACTTTGCCATCCTCACCCTGCATTTCCACCTTGTGCTTGGAAATGTCTTCTCCATCTGCAGCCATGACGTGGTATTGCAGCCATTCTGCAGGAAGGAAGAAGTGGAGGGGGAGAGACACTGTTCTTTTCTTTAAGATACTCTTGTTATTTCAGGAGACTTCTTAGAAGTTGCTCTCACTACTTCTGAACACATCCAAACTTCCAGACCCTTAGTTCACATGCCTACACCCAGCTGCAGAGAAAGGTGGGAGGAGTAGCTTTAACTTGGAGGTGTTACTGAAGAATAGAGATTCGCAGCAATTAGCAGTCTCTGCCCCAACACTGTTCCAAGGCTTTCCTCAGATTCTCAACCGTGTCTGTGACACAGAGGGGCTTAAGAAACTCTGCTTTATAAAACTGCTGTGAGTTTCGGGGTCACAGCATATCGGCACCCTGCCAGCACTGGGACCAGCATACCCAGAACATTTAGCCTAGGCAGAATACCATTCAGTTTACTCACCTTTCCTGAAGGCTTGCCATGGGTCTGACATTGGGCTGATAATAAGCAAGTCCCTACCTACCCTCAAGGCACGATTTCTCTCCCCTGGCAGCTCACCCAGTCAGTAGCTTGTTTCTGGAGCAAGCCGTGGTGAAAGATAATGAAGACAAACATATTTTGTGTAAGTCAAGTGGATTCTACCCAGAGGATATTAACATAACGTGGAAAAGGTGGACCCAGAAGGATCCCCGGTTCCAGGAGATTTCTGAGGACATTATCACTGGCCCCCCCATCAAGAATAAGGATGGCACATTTAATATCACTAGCTACTTGAGGCTGAAGCCCTCTCTGGAAGACAATGCGACCATCTACCAGTGTGTGGTATGGCATGTATCCTCACTCATGTGCCAGAGTTTCAACTTCACCCTGATTCTGATAGGTAAGCAGCCCCGTAGACATTTCCCCAACTCTTCATCTTGAGGGGAGTATAATATCAACTTTGTTTCCCACATAGTCTAGGGGATTATGGGGGCCAGTTGGGAAGGAGAGAAAGCTTGGTCTGGTGTAGCTCAGCCCGAGAGTCAGCAGTCCAGATTAGGTCCTTAAGCCGGGACAGATGGTCTAATAGGTAGAGAGTGGTGATGACCTGGCTTCCAGAGTCATGGCTCTGGTCCTGCTGGTCCAATGCATCTGCCTAGAGGTGAGGGAGGTAAGGAAGGCAGAGGCTAACTAGTGGCCCTGGGAAATGTGGTCAGGGTGTGCCAGGTGGGGCTTGGGATGGCCCTGAAGGGAGAGAGAAATTGTTCCTGGAAGTAAGGACTAGGGATTGTGTGGGTGGGTGATGTGTGCAGGGATGTGTTTAGGATATGTGTGGGGCATGGGGAATATGAAATTGAAATATGCTTTGTGTGTATGGTATAAGGGATTTGTCTGGGTGATATGTATATGTCTTAGTCCGTATGGGCTGCTATTGGGTTGGCCAAAGGGTTCATTCGTTTTTTTCCATAAGATGGCTCTATTAGCACTTAGTTGTCTTTAACTTCATTCAAAACAATTTTGTTAGATTGTACGTGACAGCTGTCATATCAGTGTGCATTTAAAAAAAGACATCAAAATTGGTGAATTTTTATGTAGCCATTTTAATATTGAAGATGGAAGAAAAAAAGCAACATTTTTGGCATATTATGCTTTATTATTTCAAGAAAAGTAAAAACACAACCGAAATGCAAAAAAGACTTGTGCAATGTATGGAGAAGGTTGCTGTGACTGATCAAAGGTGTCGAAAGTGGTTTGCGAAGTTTCCTGCTGGAGATTTCTTGCTGGACGATGCTCCACGGTCAGGTAGACCAGTTGAAGTTGACAGCGATCAAATCAAGACATTAATTGAGAACAATCAACATACCACACGGGAGATAGCCGACATACTCAAAATATCCAAATCAAGCGTTGAAAATCATTTGCACCAGCTTGGTTATGTTCGTCTCTTTGATGTTTGGGTTGCACATAAGTTAAGCAAAAAAAACCTTCTTGACCGTGTTTCTGCATGTGATTCTCTACTTAAACATAACGAAAATGTTCTGTTTTTAAAACAAATTGTGACGGGCGATGAAAAGTGGATACTGTACAATAACGTGAAACAGAAGAGATCGTAGGCAAGCGAAATGAACCACCACCAGCCACACGAAAGGCCAGTCTTCATCCAAAGAAGGTGATGCGTATATGGTGGGATTGGAAGGGAGTCCTCTATTACGAGCTCCTTCCGGAAAACCAAACGATTAATTCCAACAAGTACTGCTCCCTATTAAACCAACTGAAAGGAGTACTCAACGAAAAGCATCCAGGGTTAGTCAACAGAAAACACATAATCTTCCATCAGGATAATGTAACACCACATGTTTCTTTGATGACCTGGCAAAAACTGTTACAGCTTGGCTGGGAAGTTCTGATTCATCTGCTGTATTCACCAGACATTGCACCTTTGGATTTCCATTTATTTAGGTCTTTACAAAATTCTCTTAATGGAAGAAATTTCAATTCCCTGGAAGACTATAAAAGGCACCTGGAACAGTTCTTTGCTCAAAAAGATAAAAAGTTTTGGGAAGATGGAATTATGAAGTTGCCTGAAAAACAGAAGCTAGTCCCTGGAAGACATAAAAGGCACCTGGAACAGTTCTTTGCTCAAAAAGATAAAAAGTTTTGGGAAGATGGAATTATGAAGTTGCCTGAAAAACAGAAGCTAGTGGAACAAAAGGGTGAATACATTGTTCAATAAGTTCTTGGTGAAAATGAAAAATGTGTCTTTTATTTTTACTTAAAAATCGAAGGCACGTTTTGGCCAACCCAGTACAACAAATTGCCACAGACTGGGTCACTTATAAACAACAGAACTTTATTTTTCACTGTTCTAGAGGCTGGAATTCTGAGATTAGTGTGCCACAATGGCTAAGTGAGAGCCCTTTTCCAGGTTTCAGACTTCTCATCGTGTCCTCACATGGTGGAAGGGGTGAGGGATCTCTCGAGGGCCTCCTTTATAAGGCACTAATCTGACTCATGAGGGCTCCACCCTCATGACCTAAAGCTCCCCAGAGCCCCACCTTCTAATACCATCATATTGGGCATTAGGATTTCACCATAAGAATTTTGAGGGGAGATGGACATTCAGTCTATAGCAGTATACAAGTGATACAGGGTAGTGTAGTAGTATGGAAGCTTTGAACATGTGCATGGCATGTGTATATTGTATGTGGTGTTTGATATTGCGGTGTTTTTCTGGCAAGTGCTAAGCAGGCTGTTTGATGTGTGGAGGTGTTAAGTGATAGGATGGAGGATGCAAAGACGTGTGGCAGAAGGTTGGTGGTTCTATCTCTGACAGGGAAGATGATACACAGCCACACAGATCCTAGAAGCAGTCGTGTGGTCTTCTTCGGCCCCTACCTGTAGGTTTCCTCTTAATGTTCTCCTCTTCTTTCTCTCTGCAGAATCTGAGAAGAAAACTGAGTCAGTTTGTGTCAGTTTGTGTATTGGATTGATCTCTACTGGACTGATCGTATTAATTTTATTTTTATATTTTTTTCTTTGGAAAAGGTAAGAGGCTGCAAAGCAAAGTTTAGACTTATGTTTTGGAGTAGGCTCTGGGAATTCAGAATTCATGGCCAATTCATGGTGTTGGGGAGTTCTCAGGGTTGATGCTGGGATATTCTAAGTGTGTTTATGGTGTGTGGCTTTTTCTGATGTGTTGGGGAGGAACTGTCTCATTTGGTCTCCATGTGGTGGCCTGGGACTCTGGGGAGATGCATTGTAAAGCCCCTCTGCCTTCTCATAATAAAGTCTCACTGTAAATCAAACCTGACCTCATTGTTCACACCAGGCCTGTGAATGATGTGGGCTGCACTAGTGTTCTCACATGTAGAATCCACAGCTCAGAGAGGGGAATTCCTTCCCCCAGTTGCTCATATTTTGTTAATAGCTCAATGAAATAACTTACCACCCAGATTTTACTGGTTTAACCAAGAACTTCTAACCCTAGCGAGGGTGTTTCCAAACTAAAACATGTTTCCAAACATGTTTATCCCTCTGGCCCACGTAGCAAATAAAATAACTCAAGCTGTTGTTAAGACCAGTGTAAATGTGTTGGTTAAATGGTTCTAGGTAATAGAATTGCCTCCAGTTATTTATGAGCCTGCCAAGGCAGAATCTGTGCAATAGCTAACATATCTCATTATAAATGCTTTAGGAAAAGCAGAACAATCGATTAATCAAGAAAAAACGCTGTTTGTCTAAAGTTGGCCAACTGATTCACAGAGCCTGCTGGAGGGTGAGAGACACCGGAATCAGAGCCTGCTAGAGGATGAGAGACCCTGGAAGCTGGAGCTATTTGCTCTAGTGGAGGCCAGTCTAGATCAGATGACAGCCACCGGACATGTAAGCAAATCTAGCTAAGATCATCAGCATCAACAGAACCAACTCTCAAATGCATGAGAAATACTTATTTTTTCTCTTTCTTTTTCTTTTTTTGGTGGGTGGGCTGTGTCACAGCATGTGGGATCTTAATTTTCCCGGCCACGGATCGAACCCGTGTCCCCTACAGTGGAAGCGTGGAGTCGTAACCACTGGAGCGCCAGGGAAGTCCCTTTGTTTTTCTTTCTTTGTTTTTTTGAGAAATACTTATTTTTTCAAAGCCACTGTGGGGTTTTTCTTGTTTATTTTATTTTTTAATTTGTTTTGCCACTGTGTTTTAGGGTGGTTTGTTACATAGCAAAAGCTAACTGATACAGCTCCCCAGGAAGTTGAATTTTGACCCAAAAGTGTGGTTGCCATGGAGATGTGCTGCTGAGAGCCCCTCCAAGACAGAGCCTGCTATCAAGAGTGTACTTAGCCACCATGTTCCAGCTATGGCATCTCAGGGATCTGCTGTAGCTTTTGAGCTTATGCCATGCTCTCCTGGCCAGCCAATGGCTGATCAAGGCAGGAATCTTTGGAGCTCCCTGTTGGGGTGGCTGAGATTTTCTTGGAGTTGCACTGTCATCTGACGCTCTTGCTAGCCAATCGTCCCTTCTTCCTCCCTTCACAGGTGTAAGACCTATGTCAAAGTTTCAGTCAGAACTGTAGTTATTTACTTCCGTCTGGTTTACGCTGGAGTATCTTCCCTTCCCCAATAATAATGGCATTATGGGAAAAACTGGAGTTGATCAAGTGAAGAGTACACAGAGGCAGGGCTGCGTAATAAATTGTGTAGTGTATCACTGTTTCACTCATTGGCATCAGTGCCTGGAAAGACCTAAGTATGGGGGACAGACAGAAGTTCACACTCCTGTACCCAAGTTGGCCAGTCTAGGTGGCCTGCCTTTCACATCACTCCAGAGTTGGGCCAGCCCAGAGTGGAAATAGAGTAGGGTATAGGTAGATGAAGATGTACAATGCCCCAATCAGGTGGTCCTGGCGCAGAGGATGCCAGTAATCTAGATTCTGATGCAACAAACCCACTCTCTGGAACTCAGTTCTGACCTTAATCCCATTGTTCGGCCTTTCCGCAACTCCTTTCAGGTTGGAACAGATCTGTTGTTCTTCAGGCCTGCCCCAGTCTAGGGTCAGCAGCATTCATGTCTTCTTCCCCCAAGTCTTCTGCATGTCTTGGTACAATAGGGTGTCTGCCACTGGACCTGGGGACACCTCAAAGGTGAGCCCAGAGATGTGTGGGGAGCCAGGGCTACTCCCTGCAGCAAGCTCCCTAGGAAAGTTCTCCCTAAAAGAAGATGTTGGAGAGGAACTCAAGAGCAGGACAGAGCTGGGAGGATGCTACCTGAGGAGAATGGGTTCTATAGAAGCTAGGTGAGTCCTCCCCAGCAGAAAGGCTGGAGGTCCACCTTAGTGGGCCACATGTGGGCCATGCGGTGACTGGCTGGAGATGCCAAATCCAGAGGCATTAGGCCTGAGCAGGTTTCCAGTGTGGCTAGTGGGCTAGTTTTCCCCGACTAGCAATTCAGTTTCACTACTGGAAGAGGGTGGCTTGGCTTCCCTCCTCTCTTGAACTCAGGACTGAGGCCCAGGACACATGTCACAACACCTGGTGTGAGTTGGGGACAGACAGGAGTGGCAGATGTGCCCCATTAGTCTGCATTGCCACCTGACTGGCTGTGGGGAAGGTAGCCTGGAAGGTAGGGACCCCAGTCCATTTGCAAGAAGGCGGAAGATGGAGGGTTCATCATACACATGGGTGGGAGAAAGTGTTGGTGAGGTCCTGTAATAGGGAAGAAACTTTGTATTCTATTACAAGTTAATCACTAAAGGGATGTTGCCTATAAGCTTAAATTATACATAATGGTCCATCCCTGGGAACCCTGCCTCCCACGTAATGAGTATTAAGCTAAAATACCTTTGTTTAGCTCAAAGGAAACATCCTGACCAGGCCCACCTGTGAATGACTGCAGGGAGGAAGAAATTAACACATACGCTCTGGAGGCTGACAGGAACCAGGACATGTTTGACTTTACCCCCTCCCCTTTTAGTATAAAAGCCTGAATTTCTAACTCATGCAAAATGGTTCTCAGGGGCACGAGCCCACCACCTTCTCCGTCTGCTGGCTTTATGAATAAAGTCGCTGTTCTTTGCCCCAACAACTCGTCTCTTGATTTATTGGCCTGGCATGTGGCGAGCAGTACAAGCTTGGACTCAGTTAACAGTCCCTCTGGCTCCCTTGGTGTTTTGGACGTGATCTAGGCTGTCACGTATCATAGCTGAGTCTGTGTCAGTCTCAAATCTGGGACCTTCCTGAGTTAGGCTTTCCCTTCCTGTTCTTGGTCTAGAGACATGACGCTTGAGATCAAGGTGGCACCCCTAGAGAAAGGTGGCGCTCAGGAATTGGGACTGTGCAGCAGGGGGAAGGGAGCAGGGCTGTGGTTTGAGACAGACTCGGGTTCAAATCTTGGGCCTGCCACTTACTAGCTGTGAGATGTTAGCAAGTTAACACCAAGTCTGATCCCGGCTCCTCATCTGCAAACCCAGAGAACAGTGCCTCTGTCAGCACTGGACCACAGTGACCTGAGATACATCCTTGGGATCTGGAGAGCCAGTTCTGCACACAGGGTGTGGATGAGCTTGGACTGCTACATCTGCTCTCACGTGACACCCAGTGCTGTCCTCGAGGCGGAATATCAGAAACAAAATTCTCACAAAAGTTCCTGCTGGGCTGAGTGGAGCTCAGGGGAGCTCCCTTGTCTAGTTTAGACAAGTGCCTTAAAAAGGGGGTGCCCCCAAATGGTGGGAGCACTGTCAGTGGACAAGAACATCCGGTGGAGGGTGTCAAGGAAGGTCTGGTCCAGCTGTCCCTCCATGCCTGGAACTTTCCAGCTCCTCCCTGAGCTAAGCCTAAAGGCTAGGGGTCTCAGAGCGGAAAGCCTAGGACCAGTGGTTCTGAGTTTTGGGGATCAAGTAGGTCTTGTCTGTGGTCAGCAGGTGGCGCTGAGCCCTCAGTTCTGCCGGTTCACTGTCACCAGCTGTTTAAGGTGCGTGAGGGAGTGGAGGAAGGTTACTCTGGATGGTCCTCAGAGAAGGTGCTGCCCAGGGGCTTCTCATTAGTTGAGTCTGGCCTCCTGCTCTGGTCTTAAGGACAGTCAAGCTGAGTCCCAAGAGCCAGGCACTGTCCCCAGAACTCTGGGCCAGCTCTGAGTAGCTTCTCATCCCTTCTTCCTCTAAACCAGAAACAGGTCAGCTCATCAAAGAATCAATGTTGGGGGGGGTCTGTGGGTGCAGAGAGGGGGCATCTTAGAGCTTCGACCAGCAGCTTCCTGGCTGTTCAGGCCTGCCTCTGGAGTAGCCTGGGACAAACTCTCACTGATCCAGCCACAGCCCTCTGCAGGCCTCAAACTGCAGCATTGACCTTGGCTTGTTGTCCTGTACATTATCCACCATTCATTCATTCATTCAGCACTTACTCAGGGCCAGTCACAGGGCTGAATCAGGCACAGTCCCTGACCTCAAGGAGCCATGGACTTGGGGATGGGGAGACGGACCCATAAACACAGGCAAAAGTAGAATGCCCACAAGCACAGAGGAAGGGAAGGGACCATCACTTTCTAGAGGAATCAGGGGAGGCTTCAAGGAGGCATCATTTGGCTTGGACCTTAATGGATTTCAACAGGTAGAGATGAGGCTTGGGCATTCCAGGCAAAGGGAATAAATAAGCAAAAGCTCAGGTGTAGGAAGATAAATACAAGGAGGGGATACTGAGTCTGCCAGCGGGACGGGTGGTTGCACAGTGTCCTGGCCAGAGAACAGTAAGCTGTAAGGCTGGGAAGCAGGCAAAGCCTGAAATGACTGGTCACAGGTCTAGCCTTGACCAGAAGGTGATGAGGAGCTACTGGAGGCACTTGACGTTGGAGAGAATGTCGTCTTTTAATAAGACCACTCTGGTGGCTACATGGCAGATGGTGAGCAGAGGATGAGATGGAGACAAGAAGCCCAGGTAACAGTTGCAGTCACAGCCCCTGTCGTCGGGGTCTGAGCTGGGAGGGGACATTGTGTAAAAAGTAAGACCAGGCAGAGAAACGCATCACCAGGGGACATATAATAGCACCTTCTCTCAGCATTTGCTTGCTCAGTGGTCTCATCACGTGGCTGATTGAATAGCAGTCTCAACAGTTAACATTTATTGAGCACTTATTATGGATGAGGCACTCAAGCATTTGACATAACGCTTTTCACTTACTCCAACAATTCTATGAGGTAGGTACTTGTAGTATCCCCACTTTATAGATGAGGCAACTGAGGCACAGAGAGGTTAAGTTATGTGACCAAGGTCTTAGAACTCAAGCAACTGTTTTGAGAGCTAACGCTCCAATTGCCACACTAATGCCTGTGACATACCCGCCTCTCTCCTGAGCCCCTCGGCCTTCCATCAGCCCCCTGGGAGTGGAGGCAGGGCTCAGGGCTATAAGCCTGATGGGTGCCCAACGGAGATGGTCAGATAGGGCTGGGCTACCAAAGGCAGGAAGGGGAAGTCTCTGAACCGGGGGAAGAGGGCCAGCCCCAGGTCCCTTTCCTGGCCTCCCAGCTGGGGTCCATGGTGCCTCTGAGATGTAGGCTGGCAGCTGCCAGCCCCTGCTCTCCCTGCCCACCAGCAAGAACAGCCCAGAGTTTAGGTCACGAAGGGGGAGGCTTTATTGACAGTGGAGAAGGCAGAATTCTGGGCAAGTACACACAGCACTGCTCCAAGAGTCCGGCTTGGGGGTCAAGCCTGTCAGGACCCAGGGCCTTTTTGCCTCAGGGACCTCACACACCCCCTCCATCCTGAGCTTTCCAACATCTCCTTTTCTAGCAACCCAAAGGCCCTCCATGACTACCCTCTGGACAAAGTGAGTGGCAGCCACCGGACGGCGGGGGAGCCAGGCCAGAGTAGTCTGAGGCCTGCCAAGCGTGGTGGGCCCAGGACCCCAGTCTCTCCCCAGCCTCTTTCAGCTTGGCATGCCAGGGTCTGCCCCAGCCCACTCCAGCCTCCCGGGGCCGGGAACAGAATGGGAGCAGGCAGGTGCAGCAGCTCCAGCCCCTGGAGCCCCCGTTGAAGAAGGCTTGGGGTCAGGGGTAAGGGGCCCGTCTCCCCTTCCCCGTGCCTGGGCAGGGCTCAGCAAGGTAAGCCTCCCGGTGCCATTTCCTCTCTGCCAAGCCCACCCCAGGGAGGCTCCACATCTCCAGCCCTCCAGCTAGACTGTGCTCCCTCATTGCCTGCCCTCCCCAGCAGGCCAGGCCCACCCTTTTGGCCATCACCTTTTCAGGGACCAAGTAGGGGCTGGGGCCTCACCACAGGCATCTCTCAGGGCCACAGAAACAGAGCAGCAGGCCTCCCATCTGGGGACTGTTCTTCCCCAGCCACCCGTCCAGCTTGCAGCCGGTCGGTCGTGGGGGCCAAGGACTAGATGGAGTCCCAGCTTTAGGGCCTGACACTTCCCACAGCTCCCCTAGCCTGGGGCAGGGTGGTGGGGAAAGCCAGTCCTGAGTTGGGGCTGGGAGGAGCAGGGACAAAAATAACCCGGTACAGGCTCCTGCTGAGACCAGAAATAGAGTAGCGACAAGTGCCTTGCAACACCCTGGGCAAGCAGCAGGCGGGGAGGCTGAGATGAGGAGGGCCCAGCCTCTTAACAGGTCCTGGCCTGGCCGAGGGGCCCGCACTACGTCCACTCTACATACCATGCCACACTGGCCTGCACGCACATGAGGAGGGGGGCCCAAGGGAGCAGGGCTCAGGACAGGGAATCTGGAGAGATGCTGAACTTGGCCTTGGCCTTGGCCACGGCCATGCTGCGCTTGCGCAGGGGCCCGCGGGCGAGGGTCAGGACATCCAGCAGGCTGGGGTCCTCATCCAGCTGGCGGGCCGTGCAGAGCGGCGTGGGCACTTTGATGGTATTGCCAAACTTGGAGTAGTCCACAGAGTAGCGGCCATCCTCCTCGGCCACGATGGGTACAAAGCGCTGGCCCCACAGGATCTCGTCGGCCAGGTAGGAGGTGCGGGCCTGGGTGGTGATGCCCGTGGTTTCCACCACACCTTCCAGTATGACGATGATCTCAAGGTCCTGATGGTGGTGCAGGTCGCAGGGCGCCAGGTCATAGAGTGGGCTGTTGGCGTCAATGACGTGGTAGATGATGAGGGGAGCCACCAGGAAGATGTTATTGCCTCCCACGCCATTCTCCATGGGGATGTCCACCTGGTGGAGGGGTACCACCTCGCCCTCAGGGCTGGTGGTCTTGCGCACCACCTGCATGTGGATGGTGGCGCTGATGATCATGCTCTTGCGGAGGTCGCCCACACGCAGCATGAAGCAGAGGCGGCTGTGGCGCAGGGCGATGACCGCATGCTTGCTGAAGATGAGGGTCTCAGCCCGCCGGTGGGCCTGGGCAGTCTTCATGAAGATGCAGCCCAGCATGATGGCATTGATCATGAGCCCCACGATGTTCTGCACAATGAGGATCAGGATGGCCAGAGGGCACTCCTCGGTCACCATGCGCCCGCCGAAACCGATGGTCACCTGTACCTCAATGGAGAAAAGGAAGGCAGATGAAAAGGAGTGGATGCTGGTGACGCAGGGCACAGCAGCACCCTCACCAGGGGCCAGGTCACCGTGGGCGAAGGCGATGAGCCACCAGACCATGGCAAAGAGCAGCCAGCTGCACAGGAAGGACATGGTGAAGATGAGCAGCGTGTATGGCCACTTGAGGTCCACCAGCGTGGTGAACACGTCCTGCAGGAAGCGACCTTGCTCCCGGATGTTCTTGTGGGCCACGTTGCAGTTGCCATTCTTGGACACGAAACGGGCTCTCCGCTCACGGGCACGGTACCGGGGCTCTGTCGGGTCCTCTGCTAGCCGCGTCAGCACATACTCCTCAGGGATGATGCCTTTGCGGGACAGCATGGCTCCAGCGACCACCAGGGAGAGGTCTCCCCATGGGGGAGGAGCAACCACCTGCTTCAACCTACTTTGGGGTTTCCGCCCTGGGACTACCCTAAGTCTGCACCGGCCTCACTTCTGAGATGCCTCCCCGGCTAGACTCATCCTCAGCTCCAGCCGGCCCCTCCTTCACTTCATACCAGCCTCACACCTCAGCCCACCTGCCCACTGCCTACTGAGCCCCCCACTCTGCCTGTCCCCACCTGGCTCTGGATCCCAGCTCAGCTCTCCACTCGCTGGCCAGCCCTGCGCGTCTCCCTAGGACCCTTCTCCCCACTCAGCCTTCTTTCTCAACCCACCTCTCCCACCTGGGAACGTCACACCTCCGGATCTTACCAACCGACCGCACCCCACACAACCCGCACCGTGTTTCCCGCCTCACCCATTTCGGGCCCCGGGCTCCCCTCCAAGCTCCAGTTTCATACCGTCTCGCCTCCAGGTACCTCTTTCCTACCCCACCCTCCGTAGCGCTCTCGCCGCTCTCCGATCTCCCTCTAGCTCTCGTCCTCTCTGTCTCCTTGGGATCCTCCGCCCGCCAGAGTCACCACTCCACCCAGCTCCACTCCTGATCCGCTCGCCCCCAACGCGACCTGACCTGGCTGGCGGGGCCCACTCTAAGCCGCGGCCTCCCGGCTCCGCGCCGGCAGCGCGCACGCCGGCGCCGCGACCCCACCCGCAGCTCCGTCCCTGCCCCCACCGCGCTCCTCGCCGCGGCACCTGCTCCTGCTCATCAAGCCGCAGTCCTCGCCTCCCCGCCCCCTCCTGCTGCCCGGGCGCTCGCGGAGGGCCGTCCTCCGGTCCTTCTGTGTGTCAATCGGCCCGCGGAGACCGACCTGTGCTAGGTGGGGTAGAGAATTGAGGACACCGAGCGCCGGAGGCGTGGAGTGGGGGCCGGGGGCCGCCAGGGGGAGCCCGACCTATTCCTGGGCTGGAGGGCTGGCGGGCACAAGCTCAAGCCCCGCCCCTCGCCATTCACCTCCCACCGTCTTCCTTCTCCCGGCTCACTTCGTCTGGCCTTGGGAGTTTGCCCAATCAGATGGACGAAAGAGGTAACTCCCAGCCCACACGCTAAGAAATTAGGGCGGGGCGGGGCAGGGCGGGACGGGGGCGGGGCGAAGGGAGTCGTGACCCGCCCTCTCATTCTGGGGACCGATGCCCTGTCGCCCTGGTCACACCGCAATTTTCCCATCCTGGGTTGGGTCAGTATCCGCCTGGGCTTTGTGGGTAAAGGAGGTATCGAGGAGCTGTGTCACCAACCTGGTGACTGGGGTTGGGGCGGGGAGATTAGGTGGCCCGAGGACTCCTAACTGACCGCTTCTTTTCTTTGGCGATGATTTTAGCATTTTCAGAGTCACGAATCCCTTGAGGGTCTGATGAAAGCCACGGACTTCCTGGGGGGGGGGCGGGGAGTGGAGATGTACCTTAGTAGGTGTAGAAACATAGTTTAACACCCACTACAGGGGATGCTGGATGCTGCAGCCCAGAAGCCTGGGTGGTTGCATCTTCTCAATCATGACCCACACTTTCAATCCCACCCCTGCATTTTATTATATCTTATTTTATTATTTATTTATTTTAAAAATTTAAATCTATTTGTTTATTTTTGGCCGTGTTGGGTCTCGTTGCTGTGCGTGGGCTTTCTCTAGTTGCAGCGAGAGGGGCCTCCTTTTCGTTGAGGTGCGCAGGCTTCTCATTGTGGTGGCCCGTGGAGCACGGGCTCTAGGCACTTGGGCTTCAGTAGTTGTGGCACGCGGGTTCAGTAGTTGTGGCTCGCAGGCTCTAGAGTGCAGGCTCAGTAGTTGTGGCACACGGGCTTAGTTGCTCCGCGGCATGTGGGATCTTCCCGGACCAGGGCTCCAACCCGTGTCCCCTGCATTGGCGGGCAGATTCTTAACCACTGCGCCACCAGGGAAGCCCCCACCCCTGCATTTTAAAGGGGGTTTGAGCTACTGGCACTTGCTTTACACCTCCTTACACCTGCAGCCTGAGGAGCTGTGTCAGGGCTAGCTTGGGCACTGGGGGTCCTAAGCTCTTGGCCTGAAGAGGAGTGGTGTTTCTACTGCAGGCATCAACCTAGGATTGTCCTGTGGCTCGGGCCCCCTCTACTACTCATGGTAGATCTTGGGCTATACTGCCAGAGATGCAGTGCTTAGGGTGGGTAAAGGAAAATAGGGTGAGCGGAGAGGGCAGCTCAAGGAGACAGAGTTACACAGGAAAACTCTGGGGCAACTACGGCTGCTCAGCCATCAGAAAAGGAACCTTCGAGAGTCTTCCCAGGGAGTTCAGATACTATCGCAGAAACCCCTGGGGTCCAAGGAGGATGGACTATTTTGTGTGGTCCAAAGTATAAACCAGTATAGACACTGAGTGGAACAGAGGCAGGCTTTGATTTCACGTATGGAAGAGTCATTTCTAATTACCAGAGATTACCCTCATCTATGGGGTATCCAAATCGAGGCTGGCACACCATCAGGGGTGCTATAGAGGAATTTGGGCTAGGATGGCCTTAGGCATCTCTGCAAGACTTCAGTGTGAGCTGTGACGTGCCCCCGTGCCCTTGCTACTTCCCTTTAATCCCTTGGCTGGTCGTAGGCATGGGGGGTGGGAATCCTCTTTTCCCTCCTTAGGCTCTGCTCCTGGGAGGCCCAGTGGTGGAGGGAGTGCTGGGCCCCCAGAGGCATCTCAGAGCTGGAAAGGCTAGGACTTGCCTCACACCGTGACCCTGAGGCCTCGCTTGCCAGGAAGGCGAGCCCCCCACCAAAAGGGCTCAGCCTCCTGCTCTGCTCCATCCTGCACCTCCTCATACTCATCTCCCCCAAACACTGCACTTGTCAGGTCCCTTTCGCATTCAGAAACCTTCTCCACTTCCCTTTTGTGCGTAGGCATGTCCCAGACTCCTTGTCCTGGCGTTCAAGGCTCTCTGATCTTATTCCCCCTCCCCTTCATGGGCCCTTTTCTCTAGCTTTCTGCTTATCTAATTCCCACCCTTCCCATGCCCAACTTAAATCCTGCCTCTCCCAGGCAGCCTGCCAGGCCTCACAGAGCTCTCCTTTCCTGAGCTCCTCTGGCTCCTGGAAGGAGGTCTGTGCTGGACCCCTCTCCAATGACTGGTGGATTTTCTTTGCACTGTATGACTCTGACCCCCTTGCATACAACAAGGATGAAGGCCCAAGACTCCTGGGTCTGCACCCCAAGGGCCTGGTACAGCCGGTACTGAAGGCAACGTGTAAATGATAATAAAATGATACGCAAACAAGCACCTTCCTTTCTTGGTGGGACAGGTATACACTCGTGTCTCATGATGCACGGGGAGTCTGAGGACAGCTGTTCTTTAGTCTTCCCAGCGTCTGGGCCCCAGTATGTCCCAGTCACTACCTGGCTGACTTATGGCATATGTACTGTGCTTTCTCTCTGAAGGGCCACCCTTCTCCCACTTCTGAATGTCCCTATGTGTGGGATGGAGATGGGGACATGTGATTCAGGCCCCTCTCTTTTTCAGAGGGGTAGGATGTAAGCTGGAGGTGCTAGTGGCCATCTGTCATGGGGGAGGGAGAGGAAGATGGAATTCATCACCCCTGATGTCAAACACCTGGATCTAGCCGTGCTTCAAGTAGTAACCTCCTGGTCTTCTCAATCACATAGGATAATAAATTCCACTGTTTAAGCCACTTTGAGTTGGGTTTCTGTCATTTGCAATGGAAATAATGCTAATCCGGGGTACCTGGGGACCCACAGTTTTAATCCAAGAATTAAACTGAGAAGGAAAAGGGACCAAGATATATGCAGATCTGCTACCTTATCTGATGAGATAATCACAAAAATACTATAACTCTGTTATGGACTGAATTGCATTCCCCCCAAAATTCATATATTGGAGCCCCTGCAATGTGATAGGGCCAGTGAAGAGGTAATTTAGTTTAAATGAGGTCATAGGAGAGCAGGCTCATCCAATATGTCTAGTATCCTAATAAGGAGAGAGAGAGATAAAAGGGGTGTGCACACAGAGGAAAGGCTGCATGAGGACGCAGCTAGAAGGTGGCTGTCTGGAACCGAGGAGAGAGGCCTCAGGAGAAACCAAGCCTGCGACACTTTGATCTTGGACTTCCAGCCTCCAGCACTGCCAGCAATAAATTTCTGCTGTTTAAGCCACCCAGGCTGTGGTATTTTGTTACAGCAGACGAATACAACCTAGCAGACTAAGACAGCCCTCATGTCACAGATGAGGAAACGTGCTTTTGCCTACACTCACAGAGCTTCGTCAGGTCTGCCTGATGCTAAAGTCAGACTGCTTCCATGGGACCCACGGTCCACCCCAGTCCCTGCCCACCAGACCCACGGCCTCTGGTAGGAAATAACCAGTCTCTTTATTTACAAGTGATTTTACAGTTAGAGAACCCAGGCGGGAGGTGGGGGCAGGGTGGGGCATGGGATGGCACTTGGGCTCTGGTAGGTCACTTGTCTGCACGGACAAAAGAGGCGAAGACGCTGTCCTTCTGGCTGAGCAGCTTCTCTGGCTTGTCGAACTCAAGGATGGCGCCGCGCTTCAGGACGATCACCAGGTCTGCACTCAGGATGGTGTGCACGCGGTGCTGGGCGGGGCAGGAGGGGCTGTCAGGGTGTGTGGGGTGGGGGCCGGGCTGGGGCAGCTGAGGCATCCCTCCTGCAGCTTGGAGGAGGAGGCATGTGGCCAGAATGTCTTATCTCTGCGGTGACTGCCCTTTCCCCGGGGGTGGCTGTAACTCCAAACCCTCCATCTGCTAATGCCACCCTCCCCCTCACCAGGTCTCAGCTCTGCCCCACCTCCAGGCTTCAAGACTCAGAGATTCTCCCAACGCCCCCATCTCCCATTTGCTCTGGAGAAGTAACCCTAGCCTAGCTCACAGGGCCTTGGGACAGGAGCAGACCTTGGAACCTGGAGAAAGAGGGGAGGTCTGAGGGAAGTGCAGGCACAAACTCTCCTACACCCCAAATCCTGCAATCCAGGCTCCCTGCAAGCCCGCCAGACTCCTTGCCCTGCACTGCCACAGGGTCCTCTCTTGATTACCAGGCGCAGGTGAGCCCAGAAGCTGCCCACTGATGACAGCCTC